CGCTTCTACTTATCATTGTCGTTACATAACTTTGACTTTTATTCATTATTGCAAAGTGAAACTCTTAAAAATTGTTGCGAAGAGCGAAGACATTTTCAATAGAGGTATGATACTAATCAAGGATAATTTCTAAAACAAGTATATATTTCTACTGAATACGTGGAATTGATATTATTATTATAATTTTTTTGCTATTTGCTAAATGATACTGAGTGCTTTTCTTTGCTTTTTAGCTGTGTGTAATCTTGTTTTGCCGAATTTCGGCAGTGATTAATACAAAAATATAAAAAAGTAATGAAGAAGATAGCGTGCGGCGAGACAAACCACTAAAAAATAATAGCTTATTCCGTACCAATCCTGAAGCGTACGTATTCCCATGATTTGTTTCTAAGCTTAGTGAAACACACCAAAATGGTATGTATGGTATAAATTTCATTCACCATCAATAGCAATAATTTGACAAAAGAAATATGAAAACAATAATTCAGGACTGAATTGAATTATAAAACTAAATGGCAGTACAGTGTATAGTTAGTTATATCACAGATGTAACCCGAGTATTGAATACAATAACTGACTACATTGAATGTTGAGTACAATTCATTAGCTATTCGTCCGAACAGTTTTTACTCTGCAAGCGTACTGCTACTTCATCGTGAATGACCACACTGAGGACTGAATACCACGCATCCATCTATGCACCAAGTAATTAATACCATCCACATCCAAGCATTCATGAATTCATTGATCCGTCAATCCAGAACTCATCCATTTTTTGTTAAGTTCAAACCTGCTAACTGATTTCATCAATGTATGCATTAAATGTGTTTAAATTGATAATACCCATCCATCCATTTTTCGAAAATTTCGAGCCTATTCACTATCTATTTCAAAATGATTTGACACTATTTTTTTAAGTAAGCAGTCAACAATCACGAAAATTTTACTTGATCAGTAAGAATTTGGAGAAAAACCTTCTGCGCAAATGTGCAAGGTGGCATATGATGAAAGTCATCGAGAACTGTCAAGTCGTAGAGGGAAAAATGCTCAAGGAAATGTGTTCCTGAAACATAATACGAATGTTTGTATTCTTTCATGAAATGCGTT